TGGATTTTGGTTTCATTTGATAGGTTGTGCTTTCCATTTAAATTGGCTAGACAATCTATACTTATTTGCCATCCATGCTTAGTTTCAATTAATGTCACACAGACACACACAAGTTGCAATTCAATTTCCCCATTGATGTACAATTACTAGTGTCTACTGAAGTCAAGCTTAGTGGTGAGCTCTAAAACCCCAAGCCCTCTCTTCTATATCTTTTCCCTACTTTCTAAATTATTTCCTTTTGTTTGCTTTAATTTTAATTGCATTATAGTTTAATTAACCAAACAAACCACATTTTGATCACTCGACCTACTAATCCAACCTTGTTTCCATTTCAAACACGCCCCCAATCCCTTGGGACGATCCCTACTCACCCTAACTATATTAGTAGTTAGAGGTAGTAGTGGCACTTTATAAATTTAAACTTAGCCACAGTTTATATTGCAATTTGGGGTACCGCGACACACGTAACCAATTTTCTCTCAAATGAAGTGCCAATCAACAAATAATGTCTCCTCAAACCGTAAACAACCAATCATGTCTCTTCAGACCGTAAACAATCAACAATATCTCCTCAGACCGTAAACAACCAACAATGTCTCCTCGAACCATTTCCCTTCATACACATGTTTAAAACATGTAGATGGAAGAATCAACAATGTCTCCTCAAACCATTCCCCTTCAAACATATGTTTAAACAATGTAGATGAAAGAATCAACAATGTCTCCTCAGACCATAAAAAAGAAACAACTATGTCTCCTCAGACCATTTCTAAATGGATGGTGCCAAACTCGCAATTCCCTCATTGAGGTCGGACCACCCTGCCTGCCCGACACCTCCTGGATGGGGGATGTCACCTTAGACCACTCCCGAATGGGTGGTGCTGAACTTGCAATGCCCTCTGATAACAAGTAGAAATATAAAAAGAAGAAAAATGAGAGAATTGTGTAAAGATTTGAATGAGATAAATCTCTCATTCATAGCTCTAGTATTTATAGATAAAAAGAGTACATGCTCATATTACAAGAAAGGAAATTAAATCAAATCTAAATAAAATCAAAGCATGTTCTTGGCATATTCTATGCCATGATTCGTGGCTATCAAATCTCTGCAAATATGGTAAGTCATTCCATAAATCGTGGCTGTCATTTATGCTAACACTTACAAATCGACTGCTCTCAAGAGTTCTTGATTTCAAGTCCCCAATTGAAGTTTTCTCGGCTTTATTGTCCTCTTCCAAATCTTTTTTAGTTCCTCGTCAAGTATTTGGGTGTGTGTGTTTTATTCATGTTCATAATCGTGCACGTGGTAAGTTAGATCCAAGAGCTATTAAATGTGTGTTCATTGGGTATTCTCCAACTCAAAAGGGTTATAAATGTTTCCATCCTCCATCGGGTAAGCAATTTGTCTCTATGGATGTTACCTTCTTTGAGTCTATAGCTTATTTTTCACCAAAGACTTCTCTTCAGGGGGTGAGTATGAATGAAGAGAAATCCATTGTGGGAGTATTGCCTAACATGGAGTCCTTTCTACTGCCTGCCACTGTTAATTCACGTTTGTTAGAAAAGGAACAGCAATTGACTCAAGAACAGGATCAAGAAGAGCGGGAGCAACCTGATAGGGAGTTGAAGGTGTATACAAGAAGACACATGGATAAGACTGTTTCTTTCCCTCCTTGCCAATCATCACCCTCTGACTCAGGTAATCCTAAGTTACCCGCTGCTATTGATGATCATACTTCTGATGTTTGTGATACTGATGTTCCAATTGCTCTTCGTAAGGGTGTTAGGTCTTGTACTCAACATCCAATATCTAACTTTTTTTCTTATCAGCGTCTTTCTCCTTTTTATTGTGCCTTTGCATCCCAGTTGTCTTCTGTATCTATTCCTCAAAATTTACAAGATGCATTTTCTAATCCAAAGTGGAGGGAAGCTACATATGAAGAGATGACAGCTCTTAAGAAAAATGATACTTAGGAATTAGTTGAGTTGCCAAGAGGGAAAAAGATGGTTGTATGCAAATGGGTGTTCATAGTGAAACAGAATGCGGATGGCTCAGTTGAGAAGTATAAAGCGAGATTGGTGGCGAAAGGTTTCACACAAACTTATGGGATTGACTATAAGGAGACGTTTGCTCCTGTAGCAAAGATGAATTCTATCTGAGTTTTGCTCTCTTTTGCTGCAAATTTTGGTTGGTCACTTCAACAGTTTGATGTGAAGAATGCCTTCCTTCATGGAGATTTAGAGGAGGAAGTGTACATGGATGTTCCCCCAGGCTTCGAGTTTACATCATCTAATGGCAAGGTATGTAAACTGAAGAAAGCATTGTATGGGTTAAAGCAATCTCCTAGAGCATCGTTTGAGAGGTTTACCAAAGCTATGAGAAGATTTGGCTATAGCCAAAGCCAAGGAGATCATACATTATTCATTAAGCATTAGCCTCAAGGAAAGGTAACTGCACTAATTGTATATGTGGATGATATAGTGTTAACGGGAAATGACGTAGAAAAAACGTCAAAGTTGAGGACCTACCTAGCTAGTGAATTTGAGATAAAGGATTTGCGAAATTTAAAGTACTTCCTAGGTATTGAAGTTGCTAGATCGAAGCGAGGGATCTTCATCTCACAAAAAAAATATGTGCTTGATCTTCTCAAAGAAACAGGAATGTTAGGGAGTAAACCTATTGATATGCCAATTGAACAAAATCACAGATTAGGAGAAGGTAGTCAAGATGCTCCAGTTGATAGAGGTAGATACCAGAGGCTTGTGGGGAAATTAATTTAGTTGTCACACACTCGTCCTGATATTGCTTACGCAGTCAGTGTTGTGAGCCAATTTATGCATGCACCATGTGATTCTCATTTGGAGGCAGTTTATAGAATTCTCCGATACTTGAAGTCTGCTCTTGGTAAAGGGTTGTTATTTTCCAGACATAATCACATGCGAGTAGAATCCTATACACATGCAGATTGGGCTGGATCAATTTCAGATCAAAGATCCACGTCTGGTTACTGCTCTTTTGTAGGAGGTAATCTAGAAACATGGCGCAGCAAAAAACAGTCAGTTCTTGCTAGATCTAGTGCCGAAGCAGAATTTAGAGCTATTGGTCATGGAGTATGTGAATTGTTGTGGTTGAAATTGTTGCTGCAAGAATTGGGGTTTGACTCCAAGGATCCAATGAGGTTATACCATGATAACAAAGCTGCAATAAACATTGCACACAATCCAGTCCAGCATGATAGAACTAACACATTGAAGTCGATAGACACTTTATTAAAGAGGAATTAAGTGCATGTTTGATTTGTACTCCTTATGTGAAGTCAAGTGATCAACTTGCAGATATTCTAACGGAAGGAGTTGCGACTACAAGTTTTTATTCAGTTATAGACAAGCTGGGCATGTGTAATATCTTCGCAACAGCTTGAGGGGGAGTGTAGGAAACTATCTTTTATTTTATTTTTTTATGCTGAAGGGTATATCAGTAATTATGTGTCTATCCAAGATAGTATAAATAATATATTGTGAGAGAGAATCAGTATGCTTTCTCATTCTTTCTGCCGTCACATTATTTTCTTCTATCCTCTTTAGTTTTCTTCCTCTGCTTTCTTTTTCCTGATCTATTTTTCAATCTCATAAATCAACTACAAGTGCCATAAACTCCACCCCCCTACCCCGGCAATGTGGGATGTCACAATCACCCCTTCTTGAAACCCAGCATCCTCGCTGGCTTGACACTCATGAGCTTGTGCACACTCCCCCTCATTTCCGGCTAAAAATTGGCTCTGATACCATATATCACGACCTGCTCTACTTGGAAACTGAGGGGAGCGTGCATAAGCCCATGACGGTCAAGCAAGAAGAAGTTGAGTTTCAAGAGGGGGTGAATATGACGGCCCACGTCACTTAGGGAGGAGAGGTTGTTGGCACTTATGTGTGGACATCTCCCAACTGTGTAGACACGCTTTGAAAGAGGCATGGAGAATGTGCAAAGTAGGCAATATCTACACAGGGCGGGACGGGCCATGACAGATGGTATCGAAAAAATTTCCCAACCAAAAATGGGGAGTGTGTGCAAAGTAAACAGTATCTATACAAGTTGGGCGGGTCGTGACATAACTGTTTCTACTTCTAAACCTTAAAATTGTACAAACTATGACGAATCCAGGAATTTATTTCAAGAGGGGCATATTGAACATCGTAAAATAGAAAGAAAAAAAATCCCAATTAACTTGATAACTACCAATATACCAACAGGCTTGTGACCTATCAGTATAAGGCTCCTACTTCCCAAAGGGAGGTCAGGGGTTCGAACCTCAGTGGAGGCAGTGCGTGTGAGTCCCAACTAGGAAAAAAAAAAAAAAAGAAAAAAGAAAAAAGATAACTACCAATGTAGCAAGATGCAAGCCGAAAAATAAAATTACAGTAATCAAGATTCAAATAGTATGTCGTTATTTGCCAAAAAAATTTGAGGGTGGGCCCAGGCACAAAAATGTTTAGGGGCCAGCTCGGGGAGAGGGGGGCGAGGGTCTTTTTGTTTAAGGGCTGCTCGCCCTTTGAATAGAAGTGGAACAGCGGAGGTGATTTCGGTAAACCAATGCATGAGCTGAGGCTCCCATGTCCTGCCGACCCTTCGAAAAGTCAGGTTATACAATGGCTCGTATGTAGTCAGAAAAAAAATGAGTCAAAGGCGGGTCAAACTCACATAAACAAAGGGGGAGACGTATTCGTGAAAAACAATAAGTCACGTTGTGGGGGGACTGACCACACCCATGCTGGCTCCGCCAGTGTGCACAAATCAGATAAGTTATTCATCATTTAAGTTGAACCTCTATAAGAAAATGGCTGTTGTTCAAGTAAACCATCAGTTAAATCATAAATGTCATGATTATAGTACAATGTTATCGCAAAACTAAAATAACATGCACGAAATTGTCTACGAGGATGGAATCCTTCATGAAAACAAACTTATTTCTAGCATGATAATATACACACAGGCAGCTTACTCTTCTCTCCATGTCTATGCACCCCCCCAATACCCCCAGTAACAAATATATTAATCCCAACCTGCATGAATTTGTAAACTAAAATGTATTAGTAAAACCCATGCGAAGAATATATAATGCCTGCCATACATTGAGGAAAGCATTGAGAAAAGCTAAGGAAGTGTGATCACCATAGAAGCAAAAATCATAGTTGCAGAAACAGTAGTTGCACCGTTCCCTCTGGTAGCCACCTGAAAGGAGAGCCATCATACCAAATATATAGTGAATAGATATCATGGAGGATATTATAATTATGAACTATTTTGAAGATTCAACTGTAAATATTTGACAGGTAATGGACAAAGGTAGTGATGTTTATAAGAGGTTCTGATACAAATAATTAATGATGTCTTAAAAAGTGTCTTGAAGAAGTCAAAGTCATCCTTGCTTTATGAGTTCAAATAAGTAATTAAGCTTTGGAATAATTGACAAATGGCTGAAAAGATCATTTGCTTTCATATATCTCAAGGATATTTATAGAGAATACACAGACCTATTTAAGGTAAGTCAACTATACAATTAAATTCTGGATAAATAAGGAAAAAAACCCAGATATGTAGATATTTAAACAGCTGTACACGCTAACTCTCCCCCTCAAGTTGGTGCATAGATATCGCACATGCCCAACTTGGATAGTGATGTATGAAACAGACCACTAGTAACACCATGAGTCATCATATCAGCTAGCTGGTCCACACTCTTAATGTTAGGAACCTCTATCACACCAGAATCCAGGTTATCCTTGATGTAGTTTCGGTCAAGTTCAATATGCTTAGTTCGATCGTGTTGCACTGGATTATTAGCTATTGAAGATTTAATGGAGGAATCAGTGGAGGAAAATCTTTCAGTAATTGATGTTGTTTCCTATTATTGAAGATTTGGTGTTATTAGAGGATAATCCTCCTTATTTCCAATTTTCTAATTCTTTCCATTCTCATAATTTCTTCTCCTATATAAAAGAATCTCCACCATTGTATTGTATATGAGTTGAGAGAGTATTATAAAAGTGATGCAGCCTTTTGGGCTCTTTGTGCCATGGATGTAGGCCCTAGTGGCTGAACCGCATAATATCTTTGTATTTTTCTCGTTTAATTTCTCTTCACATATGTTTTATGATTTACATTATGATATCAAAGCCTAATTTCTCTTCCTAGGTTCCGACCCCTATTTTGGGGTATTCCCTTAGCATTTGAAATGTTGCTAAGGGTTTTCGATGCTATTTGTGACTTGATTGGGCTGCCGGTTTGTTCGGCAGTAATGTTCTTCGCCTTTGCCGTGTCTCCGACAGTTTTTATTGACTTGTTTGGGCTGTCGGTGTATTCGGTAGCATTGTCTTTGTCTTTGCCGTGTCTCCGGTAGTTTTTATTGACTTGTTTGGGCTGACGATGTGTTCGGTATCATTTTCCTCACCTTTGCCGTGTCTCCGGCAGTTTTTTGTTGACTTGTTTGGGCTGTCAGTGTGCTCGGTAGCATTGTTCTTCATCCTCTCTCTTCTCTCTTCATCATTCACACTTGTTGTTACTCGTCATCTCAATGACAAGTTGGGCGTTCATGCTCCAACTTGAGGGGGAGTATTGAAGATTTAATGGAGGAATCAGTGAAGGAAAATCTTTCAGTAATTGATGTTGTTTCCTATTATTGAAGATTTGGTGTTACTAGAGGAATCAGTGTAAAAGAATCCTCCTTATTTCCGATTTTCTAATTCTTTCCATTCTCATAATTTCTTCTCCTATATAAAGGAGTCTCCACCATTGTATTATACATGAGTTGAGAAAGTATTATAAAAGTGATGTAGCCCTTTGGGCTCTTTGTGCTGTGGATGTAGGCCCTAGTGGCTAAACAGCGTAATATCTTTGTATTTTTCTTATTTAATTTCTCTTCACATACGTTTTATGCTTTACAACATTAGCAATATCAATAGCTGCCGTATTATCACAAAAAAGCAACATAGGTTTCTTTGGACCAAACCCAAGCTCACTTAAGAGAATCTTCAACCAAGTAAGCTCCGCAATTGCATAATGAAGCGGACGGTATTCAGCTTCTGCACTAGACAACGATACCACATTATGTTTCTTACTCCTCCAGGTCACCACATTGCCTCCAACGAATGACACATACCCTAAAGTAGACTTCCTATCTAACTTGGCTCCCGCAAAATCAGAATATGTATAACCCACAATGTCTAGGTGTCCATGCCTGGAGAACATAATACTTTACCTACAGAGGACTTTAGATAAGCCAAGATACGATTTACTGCATTCATGTGTCGGTCACTCGGATTATGCATGAATTGACTCACAACACTAACTGCATATGACAAGTCAAGCCTAGTGTGAGTCAGATAGATCAACTTCCCCACTAGTCTCTTATATCTCTCCTTGTTTGTCGGAATCTAATCAAGATAGACAGCTAAGCCATGATTTACTTCAATAGGAGTACAAAGTGTCTATAGGAACACACGCAGAGTTACTAGTTTCATCCAAGAGATCTAATGTATACTTTCGTTGAGAGAGAAAAAGTCCCTGCTTGGACCGAGACACTTCAATGCCCAGAAAGTATTTCAGAACTCCCAAGTCCTTCATTTCAAATTCCTTGGCCAAATAGCTCCGAAGCTTCTCTATCTCATTGGTGTTGATACATGTAACAATCATGTCATCCACATAAACGATAAGCAAAGTAGTATCATCACCATCCCTCTTATAGAAGAGAGTGTGATCTGCCAAAGCTTGCTTAAAACCATACTCCTTCATTGAGTAGCTCAACCTGCCCAACCATGCTCTTGGTGATTGTTTCAACCCATATAAAGCGTTCTTTAGCTTGCATACCTTACCTACTTCAGGTGTAAACCCCGGGGGGAGGATCCATATACACCTCCTCTACCAAATCACCATGAAGGAAGGCATTTCTCACATCAAACTGTTGTAATGGCCAATCCAGATTAACTGCAAGAGAGAGTATAACTCGAACAGTGTTCATCTTGGCTACAAGAGCGAAGGTCTCTTGATAATCAATCCAATAATGAGTGTATCCCTTGGCAACTAGTCTAGCGTTGTACCTCTCAACTATCCCATCTAACTTATACATCACTGTAAACACCCACTTACATCCCACTGTCTTCTTTTCCACTGTCTTCTTCTGAAAAGCCTTCATTTCCTCTACCATAGCAGCCTTCCACTTAGGATCTCCAAAGGTACCCTGAAAATGACTAGGAACAGACACAGAAGACAACTGAAGGGCAAAAGCTAGGTGAGTCTTAGACAGACGGTGATAGGAAACAAAATCAAAGATAGGATAGACAACATTAGAAGAAGATTTGGAGAAACCCAATTTATCAGGTTCTTTACGATCACGAAGAGGATACCTCCTACCCTGATCACCAACTTGCGGATTCAAGGCAGCAGTCTCCACAGAAGTTACAGGGCTAGAATTAATATCTGAAGTTGAAGTTAAAGGAGAAGAAACATGTACCTCAAAGTTAATCCTAGAAGGTTCATCCGATGGCATGGTAGTATCATCAAGAGGGGTACTAGAGTTAGAAGGAGGGGGCATAACAGTGGCATCCTTTTTCCTTCTCACATATACTTCTTTGAACAAGTGGGCTGATCTTTCACCTATTCTTTCCTCGAACTCAGTCTCCACAGGATCAAGAGTATCTAAAGGTTCTCCTTTTTTCATAACAGCTGAATCACCCCCTTACCTGAAATCCACAACCTCTTTTCTTCCAGCAATAACCATTCCTCTTCCTTACCACTAATCTCCCCTTGAAGAGGAATCAGAGATACATCCCCAGAAAAATAAGACTCTCTTTCACAAAACTGAACATCCATGGACACATAGTATTTACTTGTAGGAGGATGAAAACATTTATAGCCCTTTCGTGAACTAGAGTAACCAAGGAAGACAAGAGCACGAGGGTCAAGCTCATCCCTTTGAAGAGGATGTACATGAACGCTATGTTACCCGGACTCGGGTACGGATGTCGGACATAGGTATGTGTCTAGAGGTCGGATCCATCTATGTATCAAATTATAGGACAAGGGGACACGAAATAAAAGTGTCCAAAACTCGGACACGGATACTTGGACACTTCATTTATGTTGTGAAGGAGAGAGTACTCTTGTCAGTTGTATACCTTTTAGTTTGCACCAGTTGAATTTATATTTTTTATTAAGTCCATTTTTTTCTCTTTTAGTAACCACATTATCTTTTACTATTTTACCTCAAACCAAAAAGAAAATAAGAAAATAATAGCCCAGTTCAATGTATTATATAATTGAAACACCCTTACAATTTAATGTCCAAATAATAGCCCAGCCCAATGGATTATATTATTAAAACACTCTTACAATTTAATGTCTAAATAATAGCCCAGCCCAATGAATTATATTATTAAAACACTCTTACAATTTAATGTCCAAATAATAGCCCAGCCCAAATAATAGCCCAAGCCCAATGTATTAATGTGTGCACAATGGATGTGCGTTACAGCTATAACCCACCTATCCATTCTGCTCAAACGGTCAACATGATTGGTTAGTGGGTTACAGCTGGTAATCTACTAACCACAATATTTATGATTATATATATAGAGAGATATTTAGATACTAGAACCATATATATATACACTACCATATATATACTCTATTACGTTTCTCAATGATAGGCTTGACAGCTGCAGGAATTTGTTTACGCGGGAGTGGAAAAGTAAGAGCATGAACAAGACGCTCCAAACAGGGTGGGTTTCTATGCAAAAAAATGCGTGAATAACCCTCGTCTTCTCCAAAACCTCCTTTCTAAAATCGCGGTGAAACCAAAACGTATCCCTAATTTCCGACCATAATTTCCAACCACTGAAACAAGAGTTATCTTCAACGGCCGTGTCCGAACTTGACCGCACAAGGTTGAACACATATCCCGAATCCGTGTCCGTGTCGTGTCGTGTCGACACAAACACCCTCGCCGGAAACGACGAGTCCAGGTAACACAGCATGAACATAACACACACAACCAAAAACCTTAGGACAAAGATTTAGTGCAGAAGGAATAAAGTGAAATCAGGATAGCATTCTCAATGGAGTTTGATATTTAATTATACGAGCATGCATTCAATTGATAAGAAAAACAACAGTCATGACAGCCTCGGCCCAGAAATGCTTAGGAGCATTCATAGTAAAGCATAAGGCACGAGCCA